TTTTCAAAGCCGTAGCCAAAATTATAATTAACCCGCGAGTTGCCAGGGCCACCTTAACCACCAGGAATATTACATTGAGCATACGAAGAATCCTTACACAGGAATGCAGCAAAATTCGTGTCTGGTCACGCGTACATGATCGTTTTAGCACAAAAAAGAGCTTCCTGCGCGTGACACAATTTTCTGAGAAATCTTTTACTTCCTGTTAAGAACAAAGCAGTTTAAGGAAAGTTGCCTGTTCAAAACAAAGGACCAATCAACACCCGCCCGGTCGTGTTAGCAACGAATCAGTGAGCGTTATTTTCTAGTTTGACGTCAAAAGAAGCTCAGAAGGGTTTTCCCTTGACTCTTTCGCAAGGAACAAAGGTTACATGTAATACGTGCGTCCCGTCAAATGACGTAAGGGTCGTCAAAAAGGAAAGTAGATATAAAGGTCACGTTTAATACATTCTGAAATATACTTTGGCAAGAAGCACTAAGAACTTATCAAAACACAGTCAATCGAGGCAAAACGAAGCTCTCTGAAGCGATAAGCCTTTTTTCAGGTCAGTGAATCGATGTTATTACTTTGGCATATACTTGCACGATTGTTTGCAAAAATTATGAAGGTGTCGTGAAGACATTCGACGTGAATCTGATCTTTTTTCTTCGAACTTGGTCATTTTGCCATCAAGGAATTAATTTGTCTCACCGAAATTACAGGGTTACTTTACTCGATTTTTAGCTTAAAACTAGCCGATATTTCTTCTCTCTAACGAAGATAAAAATTACAGGCTTAAATAAGTTACTAGTAACATCAACATTGATCTGTTATTTTCATCAAACAGGTTTAATGGGGTTCAAGTTTTTCAAGCGAACTAACAGCACAAGCCAGCCCCAGGCGAGGAGACGATCCTTAAGCTTTAGTTTCCGTCGAAGAAGCCGTCATGGCAGAGAGGAACGGAGTACAGAGAATGGAAACACTTTAGCAGTTCGGCAGCGAACAAACTCCGAGAAAAGGAGATCTAGAGAAGTTGGCGAAGCTTTGCGAGCTATCGGCGATGATCTCAACAACAGCACGTTGAGTCTTCACACTGCAACGTAGTGGATTAGTGGACGAGTGGAAATAGATAAAAAAGGAAATACTTCGCGGCCTTTATCGCCAGCTTTTGCAGTATTGAGCAAACCAAGTGATGAAAGATCTAGTGCGGTGCAGCAAGCAGAATTTTTACAAACATTGAAAGTAGAAACATGGACGAAAAAGCAAACAGTAACTTGTACTGAAATGGCCGCTTTGCCTAGAATGTTGATCGGAATGGATGTTGTAAAAAGTAATTTATTGTGAAACGACACACAGTGGATTTGAAAATGCTTTATTTATTGTATTTATGGTAAAAAAGTGAAATTAAACGTGTGGCAATTCACCTGACGTGTCATTAATTAAACATACGTGTGACGTGATGCGTGTCCACAAATCACGGGACATGTTAATACGAGTTTCCGGTTCCGGTTCCCTTTCCTGGATTGTTTGACTAAGGAGTTTTGAGTCACGAACGTTAACCAAGGCCCTGTTTCCCGAAAGCCCCACAAAATTTTCGGGCCCGAAAAGCCATTTTTAGCTAACCGGTATTTAAAGACAGATAGGTGTATACGCCTGAGACTTCTTGTACGGAATGGAACCTAACGTTCATATTAAGAATATGTAAATAAAACAGCTCTGTAATCGTATGGTTTGAGATTTTGCTACGGCTTACTAGGAGAAAATTTTTCGGGACCTTCGAGAAACGGGCCCCTGAAGTCGAAAGTTTCCTCCTTCTGTTGCGCGTATTGAGCATGAAAGCCATGGACCGTGGACGATTGAAATGAAAATTTAAAACCATCCCTTTTCTAATTTCAAATGGGGTTTTGATCTTAGCGGGAATCCATCATCGATTCGGAGGAAGGGGGGAGGGGGGGTTCTTTCTCCCTAGATTGTTGTCAAAATGTGAATGAAAAGTCTGCCAAAGACAAGAATATCGCTTCTCGTTGCCCTTGCTTTTCTTACGTATGGTTCTCCAATCCTTGTGTAGCACAGCTCTTACAAGACTT